TCTGCCCCCCCCCCCGCTGGCGCCATCACTGGTAGCAATCACAAGTCACAAATCAAATATAGTAATTTGGTCAACTTCTCAGCGGAGGTAGTCTATGAGGAAACCGGCAGTACTACGGGGGTACTGTCCAAGAAGTGCCTTAGAGGAAGTATACCAAGCAACAGCAAGTTCAGAACGGTACGCCGTTCAACCAACAGTTCGATGCTAACAAGTGAACTGACGATGAAAAAATTAAATCGTCGATGATGAAATGTGAACCGTCGATGATGAAAAAAGTGAATCGTCGATGATGAAAAAAGTGAATCGTCGATGAAAAAAAATGAATCGTCGATGATAAAAAGTTCGATAATAAAAAAAGTGAATCGTCGATAATGAACAAAGTGAATTGTCGATGATGAAACAAGTGAATCGTCCATGATGAAACAAGTAAATCGTCGATGAAGGAACAAGTGAATCGTCGATGATTAAACTTAATTGAATCATCGATGATGGAAGAAGTGAATCGTCGGTGATCGGTGTTTCTAAATAAAGGGTTGAATTTTTTCGCTCAAGCAACAAGGTGTGACCATAATCAGCTGATGACAGGTCCAGGCCTAGGCCCTACAAACTAGCCTAGAGTAGGCAGCGAGACCAACATATATGTTTGTTTTTTTGTGTGTTTATTTGCTTGTTAATTTGTTTGCTTGTCTCTAATCATATTGTTTATGGTGTGTATTTTTTATTTGTTTGTCTATATAATTTGTATTTTTGTTTTAATTTATTCATTTGTTTATCTGCTTGCATGTTATTTATGTATTTGTTATAATTGACATCAAATAACATTCATATTATGTTATTATACAAATACTCAATATCGCCTTTGTTTTAATTGACATAGCGGTCGTCTAACGTTAGTCATCCACGTCAGTGTGACCAGTGATGCAAATCGAATTATACCAAGGGCTAAATTACGCCAAACTGTAAAAATGTGAATAAGCGCCGCCACTCACACTTCCCCGCCTAATGAAAGCAATAAGGGTTGGGGGACAAATGTAATTGTACAAAGACCCGCTAACCCTATCCACGGATACAGGATTTAAAAATTAAAATTAGTGGGGTCTGACAGCATCCACTCCAGCCCTACGATAGTTCAACAACATTTTGCAACTCTGAATGCCCAGAAATAGATGCTGACAACTTGTAGGGCCGCTAGCGCTCTTCCCCACAGGCGGCAGCCATAAAAAATAAAGTTAGCATGGAGATAGAGTCTATGTTGGAAATATGGCACTTCTGGATGCCTGGAAATAGAAGCTGGGAAACCTGTATAGCCACCACATATTCCCATCTGGATACATAATGGTAGCATTGACCAAATTAAAAATTCGTAGGACTATTTTAAATCATGGGAACAAGACAATTTTAAGTCTACTGCGAAAATGATATATTGTTCAAAAGTAAATTAAGTTGCTTATTTCTCCATGAATAAATAAAGTGCAAGAAACACAAATATATATGTATAGAGTAATAAAACGCATA